CCTCATAAATGAAACTGAACTATGCTCTAAAGATGACATGTTGCTTCAAGTATGGAGGCCTGTGATTCGTTAGACCAACCACTGATCTGAAGGGAGGGAACAAAGAAATGTGTTGATAAGGAGCAGCAGTAGGAGGAGTTAGCAGACTGGTGAGTTCAGAAAGAGCTTTGTGGCGTGTGTGTGTGTGTGTGTGTGTGTGTGTGTGTGTGTGTGTGTGTGTGCGTGTGTGTGTGTGTGTGTGTGTGTGTGTGTTTGACTATCTGCTTCAGCTCTACGTTATTCTGCTTCAGCGCTCCTCTGGCTGATCGTCTATTTCATGCTGAGCAGATCCTTTATCAGCAAACGACCACACTCAGCTACCTACCCCTCTTCACAATCCTCAAAAAAAGATGTCAAAAAGTTTCTTTTTGCTCCACCTCCATCTGAAAAGAAAGACAAAAATGAATGTATTGAACAACAGTCTCTGCCTGTGGATAACCTCACCTCCTCATTAGAGACTCTGTCATGTAGATATCAGTGAGGTCTTCACTTCAACAAGAAATTAATGCAGTCAGTACCCTCTATGAAATCTCAACCATCTGCCGACAGTGTGTACAGTCAGCATGGCTGACAGAATACACACTACTGTAGTGTGTTACTTTTTTCAGTACTGTGAAAACAGTAACACAGTTTAGTCGCCATAGTTTCTGAAGCAACTATGGCGACGGTGGTAGGTGTTAGTCTTTTACAGGCCCAGCAGCATTGGCGGGGATTGTCTGTCCACAGAGTCTGCTCCCCCCCTGGACTGGAAGCTGTTTGTTGTTTTTACCTTAAAGTGGCCAACTCTCTTATTTCTATATGGATTTGATACAGTAGGGGCTTCTGCACTTCCCATAACTGTGCCTTCTGTCACTTTTTTTCAGCAGTTAAAACTGTTTAATCTGTTGTTAACATGTCGTAACCTGCTTTTCCAAGCTGCCTTTAAATGCAACAGGAGCGCTAAGACACTCGCGCTGGGTTTACACATGTGCGGCAGTGAAGGAGACCTGCTGCTGCTTTGCAGAGCTACTCAGTTGTGTTAGAATCATGGCAGCAAAAAGCAAAGAACTTTGCAAAGTTTTTTCCCCGACTAACCATCTGAGTTGAGTAAAGCTGTTGGATACAGGTAATGTTAGCTAAAAGATGACTAGATAATACCAATACAGCTACCCTATGTTCAAAAGTGGACAGTACTTGTTACATTCACTTGAGTAACTTTTTTGGAATAAAGGTACTTATAAAAGTAGTTTTACTGCATTGTACCTTTTTCTTTTACTTGAGTAAAATTGCTTTTATTGCTATGTAGATTAATTTTGCCCCCTCATGCTCCCCCCTGTTAAACTTGTCCGGAGCCGGGGTTGGTCCTGTAACTGGTGTGTTGCCAGTTTGAAACCCCACTCTTTCTGTCTCAGTCATTGTGTCATTGGGTAAGACATTCCACCCACCTTGATGTGGCCTCACTTCTGTCAATCTGTCACAGGGCAGCTGTGGCTACAATGTAGCTCATTACTGTCAATGTGTGACTGTATATCTATGAATCAGTGAATGACTGAATGTAGTGTAAAGTGATTTAGAGTCCTCTAAACTAGATGTGTTACCATTGGATATGCAGGGATCAGATTAGACTAGCACTTCTAAAATGATCCATTATTGTCTCAGAATATTGTCACAGAATATCTTCCTAAATCTTTTGGATTATCAACATGTTCTATGGAAAATGTAATGTGGTCCTTTTTTTGGTGGTTTGCTTTGAAACTCTACAGATGTGTTCTTTGCTCAGTCTGAAGCAAGTGAGACCTGCATTGCTTTACATCATGCTCTGGGTTCTGTTTTGAACTCTTGATAGAGTCAATCGGCCATCACTGGGAAGGTTCATCACTGATCCATGTTTACTCTCATCATAGGTAATGCATCTTACTGTGTATTGTAGGAGTCCCAAACTTTAGAAAAGGCTTTGTAACCATTTCCAGACTGATGCATGTCGTTGTTTTTGCTTCTCATGTTTTTTAGTCACTTGAGTTTGGAGCAAGAGGTTTTGTTTTTTGAAATCCTTCAACCTACTTCGTTTTGTCAGTGAGCAGTGTTGTGTTCAAGACCACCTAACCCGAGACCAAGACAAGACCAAGACCAGAGTGTATCGAGACCGAGA